CATAATTCTCTTGTCCTCTGTATGAAGTTGAGCTGCGGCTGCTAAAAAAAAGGATTAAAGTCGTCACATTATTGGTTTGGAAGTTGGTAAACTCGCTTGACCTGGGACCTGCTGTAATCTGTAATCTGAGACTCATTATTATAAATGTGTGTGATAATCTATGCTCTATTTCTGCCTGATTCTGGGTAGAATGAGGCTGCGGGATGTGACTTTCAAATCATAGAAATATGGATCTAGAGCAGAGAATGTTCTCCAAGATCTCGGGGTGATCCTGTCCAATCAGAGGCAGACCCTGAATTTAGTCTAATCCCAGAGAGAGAAGCACTGAGAGCTCCAGACCTCTCTCTCTAGATTGCTCTCTCTAACCTTATGGCATCGGGAATTATACCAGAGAGAGACAAGAGAGAGCAGAGAGGAACAAGAGAAAGACAAGACAGACCAGAGAGAGAGAGAGACCAGAGAAAGAGAGAGACCAGAGAGAGACAAGAGAGGGACCAGAGAGAGACAAGAGAGAGACCAGATAAAGAGAGAGACCAGAGAGAGACAGAGAGACCAGTTAGAAACAAGAGAGAGACTAGAGAGAAATCTGACAGACCAGATAGCGACCACAAAGGGATCAGAAAGAGACCAGAGAGAGAAACCAGACAGCAAAAGCAGAGAGAGACCGAAGAGGAATAATCTGGTGTATATGCAGCGGTGAGTCAGGTTAAGCAGGGCAGGGCCTGGTTAGTGCTGTGATGGGAGACTTGTGAGAACAACAGAGGGCACAGACCATCTCTATGTGAGTACACTGCAAAATCAACCTGTTGGGAGTTAGGGTTAGGGTTAGGGTTAGAGTACAAACTCTTATTGAAAGTTACTGTGTGTGTGTGTGTGTGTGTGTGTGTGTGTGCGTGTGTATGTATATGTGCCAGTGCGTTTGTGTGTGTGTGTGCGTGACCAGTGCTTTTGTGCATGTTAAACCATCTTCTGAAAATAGCTTCAGCCAAAAACCCTGATAAAAAAACAGGCCAATATTCTTTGTTAAACTTCCCTCATTCATTCTCCCACTGCTGCATCCTCACGTCACCTCCCTCCCTCACCCTCACTCACCCTTTTTCTCCCAAATTACAGCGGAAATGAAAATGGGGCTCATCCTTCTGCTGCTAAACTGGTGCTGGTCCTGGGGGAGAGAGCTGAGTGCTTACAGACGCTCGGAGACTGGGATCATGCGGAGGTTATCGCACGGATACGGAGCCGCGTTCCAACGAACACTCCCCGAAACACAGGAAGCAGGACGCTGGAGGAACACGCCGATGTGGGAGGCGGCGCTTTGATGTTTAACAGCAGAGGAGAGAAGAGGGAAGTGTTTAAAGAGAGAAGGAGGTGGTCTGAGATCGGTATCGGTTAGAGAGTGGAGAGAGAGTTTAGAGAAAGTAAGAGAGAGAGGACTGAGAGAGGCTGGAGAGAGAGAGAGAGCAGAGAGAGAGAGGCCAGGGAGAGAGACAAGAGAGGAAAGAGAGAGAGAGAAGAGTGGCAGGATAGAGAGGACTAAGAGAGGCAGGAGAGAGAGAGAGCAGAGAGAGAGGAAAGAGAGAGCGAGAGAGCAGAGAGAGAGGCCAGAAAGAGACAAGAGAAGGAGTGACAAGTGAGGCAAGAGAGAGAGCAGAGAGAGAAAGACAAGAGAGGCAAAAGAGAGCAGACAGGGAGACACCAGTGAGAGACCAGAGAGAGAGAGAGTGATCTGAGAGACAAGAGAGACCAGAGAGAGACTGCGCTTTGATGTTTTACAACAGAGGACAGAGAAGTGAAGAGTTTAGGCGAAGGAGGTGGTCTGGGATAGGATCAGTTTGAGAGTTCTTCCACATCGTGTGGTTCATATACAAACTATTGTATGATGGAGTTACTATATGTTTCTCTCTCTCTGGTCTCTCCCAATATTCCCGCTCTTTGGTCCCTCTCTCTGGCCTCTCTTTGGACTCTCTCTCATCTCTTTCAGAGCGAGAGACTAGTTATGTTATAGATAATTTGTTTTGTGTTTTGAAAGTTAGGTACCTCAGCTTGAATATATCTAATGATTCGACAGTATTTGAATCCTCAGTGACCGTGGCGCAAGTGTTGAGGCTGAGAGAAGCAGAGACATGGAGAGAGCAGCTGTTCCACCTGTGTGAAACCATCTGGGACACGGTGCACCAGGAGACCAGCTGTTCCCCCACATCAACCAGTGTGCGTGTGTGTGTGCGTGTGTGTATTGAGGCTTACAGTGCTATGTTTTACGACTCAGACGGAGCAGAATCCATGTCACTTCCACTATTATTGTACATTTATAGACCTGCTTTAAACCCACTGTTCTCAGACTCAAAATGACTTCAGCTGGAGAAAGAGATTTGACCTAAGAACTGCTCAAATGTCCATCTGGAAGCCCTTGGTACAAACCTACTACGAATACATTGAATCTACAGCCTCAGTCCTGGGTCAACAGTCTCAGTCCTGGATGTACAGCTTCAGTCCTGGGTCTACAGTCTCAGTCCTGGATGTACAGCTTCAGTCCTGGGTCTACAGTCTCAGTCCTGGATGTACAGCTTCAGTCCTGGGTCTACAGTCTCAGTCCTGGATCTACAGCCTCAGTCCTGGATCTACAGCCTCAGTCCTGGGTCTACAGCCTCAGTCCTGGGTCTACAGTCTCAGTCCTGGATCTACAGCCTCAGTCCTGGATCTACAGCCTCAGTCCTGGATCTACAGCCTCAGTCCTGGGTCTACAGCCTCAGTCCTGGATCTACAGCCTCAGTCCTGGATCTACAGCCTCAGTCCTGGATCTACTTCTGTCTGCTATCTCTGCAGTACAATCCTGAGGTGAGTTCTATGTACCTGAATTTTAAACATTCAGTTTTTGATTTTTTTTCAGTTGCATAGATTTGTGTTTTCTCCTCTCTGCATTTCAACCCTAGGGTGGATTCTGGTGTGATGACTGAAGCTACACTTCAGACAGATGCGGAGGCCCAGACCAGCTGCCTGTCCCGGGACGTTAGGCTGACGGCTCTATCTGTGCGAGAAGGTTACAAGTGAAGCAGCGCGGCAAGGTGGAACCAATGACAGATGTTCCAATCGCCGGGGGAAGGAATAGAGTGGTGCGCTAAAGAGACGAGAGAAGTGTGGAGATGGAGCGGCAAGAAGCAGAGTCTCTCCTCTGAATGAATCAGACTAAGGAAATGAGACAAGAGAGAGAACAGAGAGAGGCCAGAGGGAGGCTAGAGAGAGTCAAGAGAGAGTCAAGAGAGAGACCAGAGAGAGGTCAGAGAGAGACCAGAGAGAGTCAAGAGAGAGACCAGAGAGAGGTCAGAGAGAGACCAGAGAGAGTCAAGAGAGAGACCAGAGAGAGACCAGAGAGAGGTCAGAGAGAGACCAGAGAGAGTCAAGAGAGAGACCAGAGAGAGACCAGAGAGAGGCCAGAGAGAGTCAAGAGAGAGACCAGAGAGAGACCAGAGAGAGGCCAGAGAGAGTCAAGAGAGAGACCAGAGAGAGACCAGAGAGAGACCAGAGAGAGACCAGAGATGTACCAGAAAGAGACCAGAGAAAGACCAGAGAGAGACCAGAGATGGACCACAGAGAGGGTCCAGAGAGGAGCCAGAGAGAGTCAAGAGAGAGACCAGAGAGAGTCAAGAGAGAGACCACAGAGTGGTGCGCTAAAGAGACGAGAGAAGTGTGGAGATGGAGCGGCAAGAAGCAGAGTCTCTCCTCTGAATGAATCAGACTAAGGAAATGAGACCAGAGATGGACCAAAAAGAGACCAGAGAAAGACCAGAGAGAGACCAGAGAGAGACCAGAGATGGACCACAGAGAAAGTCACCAGAAAGACAAGAGAGAGATAGAGGGGGACAAGAGAGAGAGAGAGAGAGACGAGGGATGGACTAGAGAAAAGTCAGAGAGAGATCAGAGAGAATGTCCGGTACACACAGCCACAGCTGCCAGCGCAGAGCCCTGAGACCAGGACTAATGTGATCTTAGAGAAACAAAATAATATTATCGCTTTAACCGTGGCCTAAAATAATATGCAAATTAAAAGTCATAACCAAATCCAAACCGCTGCTACAGTCCTGTCTGCACATTAATACAGCATTTTACAAAACAAATATTAAAATGATGGAAAACAGCTTTTGTTTTGAGTGTGTGGGACCGCAGGGCTGGCTCTATTTTCTTTATACGTCTCTGGACTTATCAGATGTCCCTGTGTTATTAAGCCTGTACATCTGCTACTACCGTCATCAGGATTTACTATCCAAACATACCATGAAAATCACATTTAAATACAGACGACAAGAGCAGGAGCAGGGCTGGCGAAGCAGGTTGGTAGAGTGTTGTTTTAACCCAGTGCTCAATATAGGTATGCAAAGAGAAGGAGAGAGCGGAGACAAAGGAGGAAGAGAGGAGAGAGAGATGAGAGATGAGAGAGAGAGGGACTAGAGAGAGAGGACAGAGAGAGAGAGAGAGAGAGAGACTAGAGGGAGGCCAGAGAGAGAGCAGAGACCAGAGAGAGACAAGAGAGAGACCAGAGAGGAACTAGAGAGACATCAGAGAGAGACCAGAGAGAGACCAGAGAGAGACCAGAGAGGAACTAGAGAGAGACCAGAGAGACACCAGAGAGAGACCAGAGAGAGGCCAGAGACCAGAGAGAGACCAGAGAGGAACCAGAGAGAGACCAGAGAGAGACCAGAGAGAGGCCAGAGACCAGAGAGAAACCAGAGAGGAACAGGAGAGAGGCCAGAGAGACCAGAGAGAGACCAGGGAGGAACTAGAGAGAGACCTGAGTTGATTCTCTGATCTGTTGGTGGCAAATCCTCCACTTTGTCCAGTCCTCTGTTGTGATTTAGGACTGTACATATTGATTTGAATCGAAAGAAGGTAATTTAACCCATATTTGTGTATAGATCTCTTCTTCATCGTCCATGCGTGTTAGCATGTTAGCGTGTTAGCAAGTTAACGTGTTATCATGTGTGGTGTATTTGACCCGCCCCCTCACTCACCCGGTCCTCTTGGTGATGGCGCCGAGACTCATGGGCTGTTTGATCTGTGCGAGCGGCAGGACCACGGTGAGGATGGGCAGAGGCGAGAGGCGAGGGTTCCCCATGTTGTTGTTGGACAGGTTGTTGTAGGAGTCCTGGCTGCTCAGTTTGGCTGCAAAACACAGGTACCCAGCGTGTAAGTCGACGTTATTTATTTATATCGTGCATTTCACAGACCGAGGCCACACAAAAACCTCTTTACCGTGTGTTTCAGTTCACTCACATGTTACATTCAGAACTACTGTGCATGTTTTAAGAGGTAGGGGAAGGAAAATCAGCAGCTGACACAGGGAGAGACCACAGAGACCAGAGAGAGAAAGAGAGACCAGAGAGACCGGAAAGAGAGAGAGGGATCAAAGAGAGACCAGAGGAGGCCAGAGAGAAGAGAGAGAGAGCAGAGAGAGACTCGAAAGAAACCAGAGAGAAGCCAGAGAGAGACCAGAGAGAGGTTAGAGACCAGAGAGGAACTAGAGAGAGGCCAAAGACTAGAGAGAGACCAGAGAGAGGCCAGAAAGAGACCAGAGAGGAACTAGCTAGAGGCCAGAGACTAGAGTGAGACTAGAGAGAGACCAGAGAGAGGCCAGAAAGAGACCAGAGAGGAACTAGAGAGAGGCCAGAGACTACAGAAAGACCAGAGAGAGACCAGAGAGAGGCCAGAGACTAGAGAGAGACCAGAGAGAGACCAGCGAGAGACCAGCGAGAGACCACAGAGAAACGAGAGATGGAAGAGAGCCACAAACATACAGACAAGTGAATACCACTTGCACTTGGAAAAAGGAAAAATACATTCTTGATAATAATAATAATAATATAATAATAATAGTAATAATAATAATAATAATAAAAAAAATTCTAGTAAAATTATTAAAAAACCTATTAATGGACAGAAAATACAAATAATAATGAGATATTTTATTTATAATGCACCTTACATTTCCACAACATCTCAAAGTGCACAGATAGAGATCAAGATAAATAAAATACAGCAATAATAGTAATCATAAAAATACTACGAACTGTAAATATAGGTAAAAGTAAAATATCTCAAGGCCGATGTGTGTGTATGTGTGTGTGATTGTGAAAGTGAGAGAGTGTGTGTGTGATTGTGAAAGAGAGTGTGTGTGTGATTGTGAAAGAGAGAGAGTGTGTGTGCGTGTGTGTGTGAGTGTGAAAGAGAGACAGTGTGTGCGTGTGTGTGTGAGTGTGAGTGTGAAAGAGAGTGCGTGAGTGCGATTGTGAAAGAGAGAGTGTGTGTGGACAAGAGACATGAGATATTATGAAGACTTTGAAATGAAGGATAAGAGTAAGAGTATGTAGCACATCAGCTCATTCAGTGCTTGGGCCTTTTCTATTCGCAGACACCCCTTAGAGCAAGACAATTATGTAAAGCTTTGTGTGTGTATGTATCAAACTGTAATTGATTGAATTGAAGAAAAACACAGAAGACCCGGACAAAAAACCCACAATTTTAAAAGATAAAAAATCCATTGTATTTTCTAAAGGCCAAATCCTAGTTGTACAAACCCGGCCGTTCCCAGCGCGTGCCTTGGTGACGTCCCCACACGGGCCAATATCAATAGTTCCCATACGGACCTGTCATCCCTTAATTGACCAGAACAAAGACGCGACAGCAAATGGTTTCACAAGGTCTTTTAAAAGCCGGCGTCCGTAAAAGGCAAAGAGGAGACGTGGATGAGAGAGAAGCCTTGGCCGGCCTTTGTGACCGTGCATTATTCAGCCTCTTTACAAATGCTAATATCCGCGGCTGGGTTTGAAAGGACCACGATTATAGCGCGTCCGAGCGATTAGCGTAGCGTGCGCCGCGGAGGGACGCATTAGAGGAGCGCACGATCGAACAGCGACGGGCCTTTCCTGTCGAGGCCGAGGCACGAGGAGAGAAACAGAAAGAATGGACTTTATTACAGATTTACAGCCGTTTTCAATCATCGGTCGGTCAGTTTCACAAGCGACGACAGATTCATAATTACACTGATCCATAAAGATAGATAGACACAGGGTCGGGATAAAAAGAGTCAAATTAATTAGAAGCTTTGTAATTAATACATCAAAATGAATCTCTTTTTCATTGCATTTAAATATTTGATCTGAGAACAAGGACTTTTAACAAACCATTGAGTAATGTCTGAATAGATATGTTTTATTTTTGTCCAACCAAGTCCAACAGACCAGTGCAGCTTTTGCCCTTAAGTGTAGTAATGGAGTATTTAGAAATGCCTCTTTACCATTCTAAGTGATCTACAGTTGAGTGCAATCCAGTGAGCCAGGTCTCTCTCTGGTCTGTATCTGGTCTCGTTCTGGTCTCTCTCTGGTCTCTGGCCTCTCTCCGGTCTCTCTTTGACCTCTCTCTGGTCTCTGGCCTCTCTCTTGTCTTTCTCTCTGGCCTCTCTCTGGCGCGAACAGGGAGGCCTCTCTCTGGTCTCTCTCTGGCGGGCAAACTGCAAACGGTAAATAAATTCATAAATGTTGAATCAGTGAGGCCTCTCTCTGGCCTTTCTTTGGTCTCTTGCTGTTCTTTTTATCTAGTCTCTCTATGTTCTCTCCTTCTCTGGCCCCTCTCTCTCTGGTCTCTCTTTTATCTCTCTCCCTGCTCTTCCTGTCGCCCAAACAATCTCCCCATCCTTTCTCCTTTAACTCTGCATCTTCCTTAAAAACTGAGCTAACAGAATCTCCTCAGTTTTGGGAATCCCCATGAAGCTGATTGGGGGCCTCTCTCTCCGTCTGACAGCAGAGTCCAAGGCCTGGAGCTTTGATTGGGCATAACCAGCTCAAGATGCTTCAGAAACAGCAGCTCCAATCACAGCCAATCAGGCGGCGACACACTAAAAACGGCATTTTCACAAACCAGGTCCAGGGCAATCAGGGGCAGACGCAGCCGCTGGAAAACAGGAGATTAAGTAGCAGAAATGTTTGGATTCGCTGGTTGGAGTTGCACCCAGGACGTGTCGCTTGTCAAATACAAGAAGAAGAGGAGAATGAGGAGGTGGGGAGGGGGAGTGAGGAGTGAGGAGGGGGAGAGAGGAGGAGGAGAGGAGGGGGGGAGGAGGAGGAGAGGTAAATGTTGTTACTGATTGAGGAAGAGAAGGTGGAACTCAAATCTGGACATGTAAGAATCAGAATTATCTTTAACAGGAACTAACAAACTAGGAATGTTGTTAAAATAGCTTAATGTCTCTCGCTCTGGTCTCTCCCTGGTCTCTCTCTCTGGTCTCTCCCTGGTCTCTCTCTGGTCTCTCTGGTCTCTCCCTGGTCTCTCTCTCTGGTCTCTCCCTCGTTTCTCTCTCTGGTCTCTCCCTGGTCTCTCTCTGGTCTCTCCCTGGTCTCTCCCTGGTCTCTCTCTCTGGTCTCTCCCTGGTCTTTCTCTGGTCTCTCCCTGGTCTCTATCTCTGCTCTCTCTCCCTGGTGTCTCTCTCTCTGGTCTCTTTCAGGTCTGTAACATATCAATATTTTGTTGAAAAATGATCATGAATATTGTTGTTTTAATAGTAATGTGTATTTGGTAACGTACATGTATAATTTCATTTTTTTTATTTTATGTGTTAGTATTTTGACATTAGAATAAAAAAAGTCTCTTTAGTTTTGGTATTATTAAAATTTTGTGATTTTTAGTTTATGATTTTTCTCTTAATCTCATTGTGTGTGTGTGATATGTTTTGTGTTTAATTGTTCTTCTTTCATAAAACACTAGAAAAACATATAATAATAAAAGAAAATATAAATTATAATAATGGGTTGTATTTATATTGCACCTTACATTTACACAAAACCTCAAAGTGCTAATGATAAAAATTCAAAACAAAAAAGTAAAAAAAATACATAAAAGTACAAATATATTATATAATTACAGTTATAATTAAAGAAACAGTAATCTTCTGATCTTTAGTGCTTTAAACAGAAATGTAATCATTTGCAATTCTCTTTAAAATCGGGTCAAACTAAAGTAGCAACTCATGAGCACTTTGTTGTTTTCTTTCTCTCTTCTCTCCAACTCTCCGACCATCATCAACTCAGTTACATTTAGGCCTATTGAATACAGTCTCTTAAGTAGTTGGGGATACTGGAGCACATGGAGGAACCCCATACAGACACAGGGAGAACATGCAAACTCCACACAGAAAGGCCCTGTCTGGAGGTGGAACCCAGGACCCAGCTTTATAGCAACACAAATACAAAACTGAGGCCTTTCATAGGACTCTGATACTTCGAAAGGGATTCTCTATTAATACAATATATATACACACTTTTGTTACTTTTGGATAGACAATAGTATTTTGAAAACAGGTCTCTCTCTGGTCTCTGGCCACGGATTGAGAGAGACCAGAGAGAGACCAAAATTCTAAGTATTTTCCATTTTATTTGAAAACACATTGTTAAAATCTCTGCTAAACGCACAAACGGCCTAAACTTGAATGACTGAACACAACTTCCTTATACACTCTTTACAAAACCCAAACAATGATGATAATAATAATAATAAAAATAATAATGTCGGACAGATACAGTGCTGTCTACGGCTTTAGACAAATGTACAAAAAAATTGCTGCTTTTAAAACAAATATCTTTTCAATCGCGGCACAAAAGCTTCGGAAAACTCTGCACTCAAAGTCTGTGCGTAGCTAAAATTCCAGGCTGGAGTGGTCTGCGCTCACAAAGGCCTTAATGGGAGGTTTTCGGCAGCGAGGAGGAAGAATAGGAGCGGATACAGGGGCTCGGAACGGCAAAAGACTCTGAGGGGAACAAGCAAGAGGTCTGAAGTGTTTGGGCGAACGGTCATTTAGATCGTTAGCGGCGTTTTGTGCTGTGCTAAAAGGACTCATTCCGGATATGGTTAGGCCTCACAATGCAAGCCGACCTTGAGCCAAAAGTGAGGGGAGAGAGGGGAGAGAGGAGAGAGGGGAGAGAGGGGAGGCTTTTAAGGAGAATGGAGAAGATGGAGAGAGGTTCCATGTGCTGCATACAGAGCTGGGACGGACAATGTGGCATGGCCTTCAGAGGGAACAGAGGAGAAAGAGAGGTAAGTATGAGCTGAGAAACTAGAGAGAGAGACCAGAGAGACCAGAAGAAGGGAGACCAGAGAGAGAGAGAGAGACCAGACGGAGAGAGTGAGGGAGAGAGAGAGAGACCAGAGAGAAAGAGGCCAGAGAGAGAGAGACCAGAGGGAGAGAGTGAGACCAGAGGGAGAGAGTGAGGGAGAGAGAGAGACCAGAGAGAAAGAGGCCAGAGAGAAAGAGACCAGAGGGAGAGAGAGACCAGAGGGAGAGAGACCAGAGAGAGAGAGAGAGACCAGAGAAAGGCCAGAGGGAGAGAGACCCGATGGAGACAGACCAGAGGGAGAGAGAGACCAGAGAGAAAGAGGCCAGTGGGAGAGAGACCAGAGATTGAGAGACCAGAGAGAAACCGGAGAGACCATGGAGGGCGACCAGAGAAAGAGCGACCAGAGAGAGATTAAAGGGATATCTAAAGAGTGGGAAGAAACCCGAGGGAGACCAGTGAGAGACTAGAAGGAGAACTGACAAATAGACAAGAGAGAGAGGCCAGAGAAAGACTAGAGAGAGACCAGAAAGAGTCGCATTCTCTGTTTTAATGCACACAAAAAAGTGAAACAGTTCCTCTTTAACTCTGATCGCAGGTTGAGCTGTTGTTGAGGTGGTGAAATGGAAGCCGAGCTGAGAACATGTGACCCAAGAGTGACCCGGGTCAAGCGCGGGTCGGGGTGAGTCTGAAGAACACATAAATCAGTCTGAGGGCCGTGTCTCGCAAGGATCCAGACCATGATGACAGAGAGGAGTGTGGCAGAGGCACGTACAGAGACCATGTTAGACTGACAGAGGAGACAGGTCCCTGAGAGAGAGGAGAGAGAGAGGGGGGGGGGGGGGGGGAGGGGAGGGGAGAGGGGAGAGAGGGGGGAGAGAGAAAGGAGAGAGAGGGGAGAGAGAGGGGGGGGGGGAGGGGAGGGGAGAGGGGGAGAGAGGGGGGAGAGAGAAAGGAGAGAGAGGGGAGAAAGAGGGGAGGGGGGGTGGGGAGAAAGGGGAGAGAAAGGAGAGAGAGGAGAGAGAGAGGGGAAATAGAGGGGAGAGAGAGGGGTGAGTGGGGAGAGAGAGGAGACAGAGAGAGGAGAGAGAGGGGAGAGAGACCAGAGAGAGAGAGGAGACAGAGAGGAGAGAGAGAGGGGAGAGAGACCGGAGAGAGGGGGGAGATAGACCAGAGAGAGGGGGGAGAAAGGAGGGAGTGAGAAGACAGGTGACAATTTACTGCTTTCAACAAATGTTCTGAGAGAGACACCATCGCAGCACAGGGACAGAAATACACCAGAGACGTCTGACAGGTACGGCTGTTTTTGCAACGCTGGGGTTCTGGATTAAAGCTGGGGTACGACGCTTTCAAACAAACAAAGAAAGTTCCTGGCTTTATAACAGTTTGTTGCTAGATAAGAGAGAGAGCAGATAGTAATCTGAGTGAGTGAGTCAGTAATATTTATTTATACAGCACATTTTACAGACCTAAGCGCTTTACAATGTTCAGAGTTCAGAACATAGCATCTCTGTCCCGTCTCTCTCTGAGCTCTCTCT